GGAGGAGGAGGAGGAGGAGGAGGAGGAGGAGGAGAAGAAGAAGAAGAAGAAGAAGAAGAAGAAGAAGAAGAAGAAGAAGAAGATTGGATTTATACCCCGCCCTTCACTTGGAGTCTCAGAGCGGCTTACAAACTCCTTCCCCTTCCCCTCCACACAACAGACACCCTGTGAGGTAGGTGGGGCTGAGAGAACTCTGACACAAACAGCTCTTTTTCAAGGACAGCTGTGCCAGAGCTTGTGACTGACCCAAGGTCATCCAGCCAGGTGCAAGTGGAGGAGTGGGGAATCAAACCCGGTTCTCCCAGATTAGAGTCCGCGCACTTAATCACTACACCAAACTGGCCAGCGTGGTATAGTGGTTAAGAGTGGGGGACTCCAGCCTGGAGAACTGGGTTTGATTCCCCGCTCCTCCACATGCAGCCTGCTGGGTGACCTTGGCAAAACACAGTTCTCTCAGAACTCTCTCCGCCCCGCCTGCTTCACAAGGTGACTGTTGTGGGGAGAGGAACGGCAGCACTGTAAGCAGCTCTGAGACTCCTTAGGGTAGAGAAAATGGGCTATAAAAACCAACTCTTCTTCCTCTTCAGACAGTCTTCTCCTTAAGAGGCCCTCTGCACAGCAATGGCCACATCACAGGCTTTCCCCCAAGGTCCCTTGGAACGGTCTACTAGAGAGAGCAGCAAACAAGAGGCAATTGGCGCCGTGGGAGAATCAATTTTAATTCATTCTGAGACCCACTAAGTGTTTTGCATACACTTTATTGGAAGGATCTGTAAAATACCGGTCTGAACGCTTCCCACATTAACAGATATTTTACAGATCCCCTGAATAAAGCATGGGGGTCTCGGGGCAAATTAAAACGAATTCTCCCACGGCACCCATCGTCTCTCGCTTTTTGCATTGTGCTTGGTACGGCCCTCCTTTCCTTGCTATCAGAGAGGGCACAGAGGCATGTGACAGTCTTACTCCACCCAGCAATTGGTGGAGGGCGAACTGTTTCAGCAGATTCAGCAGCTGAGTTCTTTTTAACTTTATGCGATTTTAATTCTGTGCATTTTTTAAAAAAGTTTGCCATGTTTCGTTTCTTCTTTAAAATGTCACACGGTTTTTTTTAAAATTAGATTTTTAATGTTGCATGCTTTTAATCTGTGCTTTTTAAAAAAAATCTCAATGATTGCACTGCTGTATGTTGTTTCTTGGCGACTTGGGTGTTACTCTGTTGGTCGCCTTGAGCCTGGGGAGGCGGGACAGGACAGAAATGTTTTAAGCCAACGACAACGATGGCCTGCTAGGTGCTGTCCAGAGGTGCCCACGCAGGGCTCGGAAGCGTCAGGAGGGGGAAAGGGCTGGGCACGCTTCACCCGCACACCCCTTTGCTGCCGAAGTCAGACATCTCAGAAACCCCGGCTGAATATTTCCAATCCACAAAAGCAGCTCCAACACAGATCCTCCAGCTTGGGTCAGAATCTCAACCTCAGTGGGATCTCTCGCGATGGGCCACAATGCTGGAACCGTGCTGGACTGGGGTGTTCCCTCTAAGCTGAGTTAGTGTGAGCCAGCTCACAGTTTTTTAGCCTCCGGCTCACACGTTTTTTGTCTGCGCTCAGGAAGGAGGGCTCCAGAGCAAACTAATTGATGCAGCAGCCCAATCGCTCGCTCGCAACTTTAATGCCAGTCGCTCACAAAGTAGAAATTTTGCTCACAAGACTCCACAGCTTAGAGGGAGCGTTGCTGAGACAGATCCCAGTTTCCCTGCACACACGAGTTTGCATACACACACACACACACACACACACACACAGATACACTGCTGCTAATCAGGCAGCTCTCCACAAGCCAGAATGAAACTCTTAACTAACCTTGACATCCACCTCCCCCGCCAACCAGCCAGCGCTCTCTTCTCATTAAGGCCGGTTAATTGGAAGCATAAACGGTCGGCCAAGGTGCAGCTCCCGGCAAGGAAGTTGGCTCCTTCTGCTCTGGCCGGAGGCATTTCGAAGTCACGTCCACCTTCCTCCCACCCAACCCCGAGGCTCCGGGTGTGGAGTTTCCCACCCCCTTGGCACAGGAAGGCAAGCTGGGATCCAGGGTGAATGCTGGGAAGGGAAAGAGGCACATGGGGAGCTTTCTGGAAGAATCCAGTCCCGTTGGGTGTTCCTTGCAAGCATGCCTCTCAGCTGTCAGGGCTCAGCCTTCATGGGGAAAGGGATGAAAGGCCCTCTAGGCCATTTCCAGGCTATAAAGTAGCAGCATGTTCCCCCGCCCTACCCACCCAACGCTCCCGATTATAATGTGAGCCAGGCGCAGAGAGCAAACGCATGGTTAAAATGTGCTTCCAGAGTGACAGCAAACCAAAGGATTAGGATTAGATATGTCCAGGAACAGCTCCAACGGTTAACTAAGGCAGCTAAACAGAACCTCCATGGACATGAGCAGTACAGCTCTGTATTCTGGTTGATGGGGGGGGCAAACGGCAGAAGGGGTCTGTTTCCTTCCAGGCCAGCTTGCAGGCATCTGGCTGCCCGCTGTTAGATGGACCCAGTGTTCCCTCTGAGTTACTGTGAGCTAGTTCAGAGTTTTAAGCCTCCGGCTCACATTGTTGTCTTAGCTCAGGAAGGATGGCTCCAGAGCAAACTAATTTCTGCAGTAGCCCAATCGCTCGCTCACAACGTAGCATTTTGCTCACGAGACTCCACAGCTTAGAGGGAGCATTGGATGGACCCCTACCTTTCCCAGTCTGACCCAGCTGGGTGGCACTCGGCAGCCACAGACGGCAGGGCAGGGGAAGGTTTGACACCACGTTTATAACATCTCCCCCAGCTTCTCACCAGCCTGGGGACAGTGCCCGCTTACACTGTTATGTTTCCGCTTGGGGCTTTTCCCTGCCCACTTCTCGTTACCCAGATCTCCCCTTGGAGGCATCCACAGGTTGAGAGGTACGCTTGCAACCAAACGTGTCCCGTCCCTAGGGAGCATAAAGCCTTGCCGCATCGCAATAACACCCCCACTGCCCAGCCTACAAGCAAGGAGGTATAAAGCTCCCAGCTGCCATCCCCTAATCCAAACAGTATCCGTACGCATAACCAATAGCTAAGCAGCTGCACGGGTCGAGGGTGGACAGGCAGAGCAGCGGATTCAGGGAAGGGAGTGAAGGTGGGGGGGTGGGACGGAAGAGAGGACGACAGTCGGCCCTTTGGGAGCCCTTGCATGCGGCTTACCAGTGCCGGGTGGGACGCTTGGTCTATTGTGGCTACAGAGCCAGATGTACTGGGCTCTATGGCATCTAATGAAAGGGCTATGTTTTCCTAGAGAGGACGGACAGAGGAGGAGCGATTAGTTGCCGGTGTGTGGCTACAGATCACAGTTAAAAGTCACCCAGGAAGGGGGCTGAGGTCAGTGCATTAGTTAGAAGAGAATCTATGGGGCTACGTCGCACCTGCAGCAGGGGTTTCCCTGGGGCCCCTCCCCTGGAACACGGGGCCCCTCCTGCTGTGAAACGAGACGGAAACGGGCCACCAGACAATCCACGCATTGGGGGCCGGAGACGTTCCCTGCACTTTTTGTCTACAGGTGGCTTTTAGCAACGGGGCAAGCCCCACTCACGTGCACGCACAAATGGCGCAGGGCCAGAGGTTTTGTGCGCGCCCGCAAATGTGCCCGGCCGCTTGGCTGCTTCCACACGGAGGGCTGCTCTCTTTGCCTCTACACATGCAACCGCATTAACTGCAGCTGCGGAGCATCCACACGGCGGGATCCTTCAGGTTTGCCTTGGTCCCACCTTGTACTCAGCACCCCCACCCCATGTGATGCCGGCAGGCTTTTTGCCTGCTTCTGTAGCTCTAGACCAGTAGCTCTTCTATGGCGTCAGAAGGCTGTCACAACATATAGGCTATCAGTTTTAAACCAAGCCTGCCAAAAGCCCACAGGCTGCAGCAGGGGGAATGGGCAGGCGCAAGGGGTCCCAGGAAAACAGCACCTGATGCGGACAGGGAGGACCGAACCTGCGCTTTCTTGTCGACACCAGAACAAAAGCCACTTCTGGTACAATCTTTCTTGAAAGATTTACTCAAGCAGCAACTGGAAGGGGAATGGATCCACGACAAAGGGTGGAAACCCCGAGAGAAGCGGTGGCAGTTTGGGAGGCAAGTTGAGCAAAAGGGGTCTGTGTGGAAACAGCCAGTCAGAGAGCCTGGCCCTTTAGAAAAAAACTCCAGTGCCATTTTTTCAAAAACCGCCCTCCTTCCCAGGCAATTTCTTCTGCACGTCATCCCATTCTTCTATCCAGCCTCTGCTTTACAAAAAATATACTGTGGAGTAATGTTTAAAAAGGCAAAAATATAGGAGCGGAATAGGACTTAGCTTGGCTTCAATAAAAATGGGCATATGTAAAATGGCAGGACTGGGGTTCCCGGGTCACAGATTTTTGAAGAATGGGATTGAGGGCAGAAGACAGGAAGCTCACAGTTTAGGATGTGAGAATGAACAAGCCCACTCCTAGCTTTTGGAACGCCTCTGTATGAAGCACTCTTTCAGAGCCACGTGGCCTGCTCTTTCCAAAGAGGTTCTGCGGTTCATCCTTCCCCTGAAGGTGGGCACTGGGGACCTTCGCAACAGGACAGACTCAGGGATCTTTCACGCAGGTTTTGCCCTGGCTTGGATACTGTTGGGGAGCAGGGATTTTTCCCGTTCCTCACAGCATCGTGGTGCTTCCTAGTTCCTCCAGGGTTTTCCTCGGTTTTCCTGCTTTCTTTCCAAAATTTGTTTGACTCTGATCTCTTTGGAAACACTATGACAAAGCCAGGGAGGCTGCCATGTGGATACAAAGTGTGGATCTTACCCAGCTCCATCCATTTCCCCAGCTTCCCATTCCCCCCACTGCACGAAAGCTTTTTAAACATATTGGGTGTTATTAGATTGCTAGAGCTTTATACCATTATAACAACCTATTGCCACACTGTACTAATTCCCAGCTTTCATTTCTCTGCAAATCTCTAGCCCTTTTCATTGCAGAGTTATAATGGGAAATGTACAACTTGCACCTTTCCCCATTTAACTATGTAACAAAAAGGCCAAAAACTTAATTTTGTTTAAAAACAACCATGAAAGCTGGGAAGTATGAGGTGCTCGCACTACATTGGTATAACATTTTAATGCTTTAGCAATCCCCAAATTACTTTTTAAAAAGACCTCTGGTGTGAGGAGGAAATGGTGGTCTTGGGAGATGGGGCAAGGAAAATGCAGGGAGACGACAGCATGGGGAAGCCCTATTGCTGCTGTGCTAAACTGGCACCTGCAGCAACAGAGAAACCACAAGAAATCCTCCGTAAGTTGAAGACCCCTTCCTTGCAGATAGCAGGAGGTTAGCACTCCTCAGACTTTCAACAGGTGATGTACACTTTCCCCACAATTAACACTGAGCCCCTTCTTCCAGGTTCTAACATTGAATTTTTTCAGCTCTGAGATCTACCTTCTTGCACAAAAGACCACATCTTTTTATTTCAGCATAGTTGACTGATCTGGGCATGCAGTGACTCATACAGAGACACAATGGGTAGCCTCCCCGTAGGTGTTTATGTAAGATTTACAGGTCCAAAGCTGCTTTAAGATTAGCTTCTTCCTCTCACCACCCCCAGCAAATCCTCAGCAGTACACAATCTAGGTATGACTGCATGAGATGCAATGCACAGCACAGGGCTGACCTCACTAAAGAAAGCCGAGGACGAATTTGTCAGTCAGTTGTGAAAATGCCCGCGGTAAGGCTTAACTACCTGTACACCCATGCCAATTTTAGTGACGGAGGAGGAGGACAATTCAAAACCCATACGAAAACCCCTGCTTCTGTAAGGTGGTGGATCAGAAACTACTGATTAGGGTTATTAAAAAGAACAGCTAAATGAGCCGGCACCGCCCCTCTCCCCCCCAGTCAGGTTTCGATCAGTCAAATCTACTGGGTCACAATTAGAAGGCAGAGCAGAGAAGGATTAGGGGGATGCTGGAAGGGGGTTCCCTGCACACTACCTTTCCTTATCGCTGTGGCAGAGAGCTGACCTAGGCACTGCCGTTTCCTGACTGCACGTGGGCTTTTCTGCAACAAGATCTTTTTAACGGGCGGGGTAGGGGGGGCACTGTCACCTGGAACCCCAAACCCGCCCCGATACCTCCTTGTATCGCTCCAGCTCCTGCACAAAAGTGGATTCAAGCGTCTGCAGGCGCTCCTGGGCGTAGTTGTGGCAGAGCTCCTCGAAGGTGGCCCCGCGGCTCTGCCCGGCCATCTCGGGGTTCTGGAAGCCTGGGCTGTCCACGATCATCATGGAGCATAAAGAGCGCTGGCTGGATTTGAGAGCCCTGCACAGGAAGAGAGAACGGGATTTAACGTATGGGGCGGTGTTGGGAAGGGGGGGGCTGGTTGCTGGCCATCAATTGCCCAGTGACTGAGACGCGTCCTCCCCCTCCCCGGGCGCACGGTATGGTTGACCCTGCCAGCACAATGGCTTGCTCCACAGGGGTGCCAAAGACGCGGGCTGGCGTCCCACAGTTGCCACCGGAACGGAGGGGCAGCACCACCGGCGTGGAGACGCCCCTTCGGCACCCCCTGCCGAGGCACCCCTCTTCCGGCCCCATGGAATGGCAAGGCAGCCGCCCGCCACTGGCAGCCCTCCGTCGCCAGCCAGGCAGCCCTCCCGCCCCCTGCTCTGCAAAGGAATGGCACGCAACAAGAATGGGAAACTTCAGTCAGTTGCAGACGCTTTTCCCAGCCCACTGCGTTTGGGGGCTGGGAAGTTTTTATGCACCGATGGAGCATGCTCCTTTTTGCTGGGGGGGTGGGGGAGGAGGAAAGTGGTGGTGGTAGGGGAGAAGAGTTCTGTGCTGTGGGACGGACTCAGCGGCCGCTCTTCTGTACCTGTTGAGGAGGGAGATGAGCAGCGTGAACAGCTCCGAGTACAAGGCCGAGGCAAAGCCCTCCAAGCACTCCAGGGCAGATGTCTTCGGACCTGGAAGATCAGAACGGATCAGATCTGTCAGCCCAGCATTCCCTTTCCTAAGCAGATGCCCCTGAACAGCCTGCAAGCAGGGCAAGCCGCTCCACAGAAACGTGCACTCAGGGGTACTGCTCCTGGCCATGGGGGCTTCATCGAGCCGACACGACTAAGGTTCGCACACCATCGGTGGACCTCCCCTTCTCCACGAACACATCTAATCCCTTACTGGAGAGGCCTCTAAGCTAGTTGCCATGGCTACATCCTGCGGCCACAGGTTCCACAAGTGGCCGTACGTGGCCATGGCCGTCCGTCAGGTGCCCCTGAGTTCTAATCCGTCAGCCGACGGAGGAAAACTTCCCCTTTCCTGCGGCCCGGGTGTGATTTTATGAGCCTCTTTCTTCCAAGCGGAAAAGCCTCACTGGGAAGGCTCTCCAACCTCTTGGGTCAGCTGGGGTGCTCTTTTCAACACCTTTTACAGCTTGGAGGACAGAAAGTCACTGGGAGGAGGTGGGATTCCCCACCCCTCTTCAAAGGCGAAAACGACCCTGGGGACATCTAGGGCTCCACCCTCCCCTCCGAAAGCCCGACTTACCCGAGCCGTCTCCCAGAGCGCCTTCCTCTGGTCCCTGGCGGAAGGAGGTGGACCTCTGCAGCGTCCCCTTGTGCTGATTCTTGAAGATGGAGGAGGAGAGCTCCTCCAAGGTGCAGCCCAGCAGGTAGGCCGCTTTCTGGGCCCACTCGTGGCGAGCAAACTGCTTCCTCCCGGCTGGAAGAGAAGGGAAGTCAGAGACCAGAGCCAGGAAGGACAGCGGCTGCCCCACTGGTCCGGTGTGGAGGCGGGGGGGGATTCTCTGCAAGAGACCCCAGGAGGTCTTTCCATGAAGCAGCACCCACCCCCTTACGCAAGGGAACACCTGACCCACTCTCGTCTACAGACCGCAACCGAGCCCCGGCGGCAAGGAGGAAGGGGGGGAGGAGGAGTCTCCACTCCCATGACAGAAAGCAAGCGCTGAATTGTCAGCAGGCAAACAGGAAGGGAGATGGCGACAGGGGAGGCATGGCGGTTTTACCGGGCTCGGGATACCATCCCAGGACCTGCTACCGAGCCTCGTCCCGACTCACACTGGAGAGAATTAAAGCAAGCGGGGGGAAATTCCGGGGGGGGGGGGGGAGACACAGGAGCCCGCAGAGAGACAAACATGGACCAAAAGCACAGGTTGTGGGTTCTGACTAGGGACGGGACTTTGGGGTGACCCTCTGGCTCGGACGCCAAGGGAACCTTCCTGCTCTCCCCTGGAACTCGGGATCAGTGCCTGCCTGGGGCACAGCAGAATGTTCACCTATCCATGCCGTCTTGTGGCTGCTGTAACCCCTTCAACTGCCCCCCACTCTAGACCAGTGTTCCCTCTAAGCTGAGTTCGTGTGAGCTAGCTCACAGTTTTTTAGCCTCCGGCTCACACATTTTTGTCTCTGCTCAGGAAGGGTGGATCCAGAGCAAACTAATTGAAGCAGTAGCCAAATCGCTCAGTCACAGCTTTAATGACAGACACTCACAATTCTTGCTCACAAGACTCCACGGTTTAGAGGGAGCATTGCTCTAGACCACCTGGCAGCCCCTTTCAAAGCACTGGCAAGAACCAAGAGCTCCAGAAGGCGACTCTGCAGCTCCCCTGCGGCTCCAACAGGCTAGGCGCAGGGGTGTCGAACTCACTGGAAATGTGTTATTTAAAGTTTAAAAAATCTTTGTGTTTGTCTGTGTCCTTTATAAAGTTTGTATCTCCGCTACCTGGCATTACCTTTTATGACACACACGGCCCGGCCCAAATAGGTCTCATCTATGTCAGATCTGGCCCTCATAACAAATGAGTTCGACACCGCTGGGCTAGAGGGCTTTCTGGACCTCAGGTTAAAACAGGGATGTCATAGAAGAGGACAGATCCACATGCACCAAATATCCCTGTTCTATGTAGTGACTGGGGGAGGCCAAGAAAAGGCGGGGGGGGGGGGGGGGGGGGGGAAGAAAACGCTTTACCTTCGTCGGCGTCTGCATTGCAAAGGGAACGGCATGCACCATGCAAACAAAAAGAGGGAGTTAGAACACAGCAGTGACATTCAGGCGTCCTGCAGGGCCGGCAGACAGGACAAGGCGTGGCGGGCCACACACGCACAAGAGACAAACCAACATATTTGACTTTTGGGGGGAGGGGTAGCGCCAGCCAAGGGTGTCCAAGACTTTCAAGACTGGGGTGGGTGGGTATTTATTTATTATTTATTTATTTTATCACACTTGCATCCCACCCTCCCCGCAAGCAGGCTCAGGGTGGCTAACAGTATTTGGCACAATGCACCAAAATCGTAAAACAGTTAAAACAATCAAAACAGTTAAATAATTTACAATTAAATAATTTACAGTTAAAATGCTCACAGTTTTAAATCACAGCGGCGGACCATATCAAGGTTCTCAGTCTCTGGGGTCCAGATGGTACCCTATAATGTCAGTGAGGCTGGCCTTGCACCGCAGATGCTAATTGCGGGCATCGATGGTAGTGGTGGCGGCTCCTAATTGAAGGCCTGGTGGAAGAGCTCCGTCTTGCAGGACCTGCGGAACTGTACAGGATCCCGCAGGGCCCTGATCTCCTCCGGGAGCTCATTCCACCAGTAAGGAGCTGCCACTGAGAAGGCCCTGGCCCTGGTTGCAGCAAGTCTGGTGTCCCTGGGGCCTGGGATAACTAGTCAATGTTGTGACCCCAACTGTAGTGCTCGCTGGGGTATATATGGGGAAAGGCCGTCCCTCAGGTATGTCGGACCCTGGCCATATAGGGCTTTAAAGGTAAGCACCAGCACCTTGAGGCGAATTCACAGATTGTGTCCAGTGGCTGGATAGACAAGAGAATGCAGAATGGGCGGCCAGTCCTCGCTTGCTGGTTGGCACAACCAACGGGGAACGTGATGCACAGTGACTTTTCGACGCTCCTGAAGCGACAAGTGCCGGCCCTACTAGGTGGGACCAGTTTCCCCCTCACTTGCAGAAGCCGCACCTCTGAGCACCCATCTCACACACAGGCCTGGCTGAAACGCAATGCTGGTGAGGCACGGAATTCCCTGGGTGCCTGCGCAGGCCCCCCAGCATGCACGCTTGGTCAGTTCCCGAGAGCTTGGGAGGCAGGGTAGGGGCGGCCGTGCGAACAAAGGCTGCTTTTGTAAGGGTGACAACGCCACGGAGCTTTCACTGCCACTGAGAAGGCAGAGGCGTTTGCAGCAGCAGCAGCAACAGAGCAGCCACATGGTGGTCCTCCATGCACTTTGCTGGCCCCACTTCCCTAGACTAGGCTTTTATGTTAATCATGCTTGGCCTGCCTGGCGTCTTTCTTGTAATCCCTACCCCCCCCCCCCCCCCCCCCCCCCCACCCTCATCTGTTGATTAT